TTGTCTACTGATGGATTGCATCCTCTTTAATTTCATCTTTAGCATCCTCTTTAATTTCATCTTTAGCATCCTCTTTAATTTCATCTTTAAGTTCTCTTTCTGGTGTCTGATGCTTTTTCATAAAATTTCTCACAAAGGGAGAGGATTTATTTTTTTTTTTATATAAGTACCCAGCTGGTAATACAAAACTAATATAACATCTTTAGAGACAAACTTGGCTGGTGTTAAATTGACACGACTGCACCTGCAAGCATGGGGTTATGCTTATTCTTAGAGAATTTCCCCCATAGTCACTGGAAATAGTCAGTTGGATTGTCCCATATGCTAAAGTTGGTGTGACCACATCATAATCATCTAGGAGATGACCAGGTGATATAGAAGAAAAAGTCATCTGATGCAGGAGCCAATTCACAAAACACAGGGATCAATCAGAACAGGAGTTTTCCTGATTCACTTTCTGTGAAACGCTGCTGATTTCTAATAATAATGTCCCAAAGCAAGGCCAGGGTGCAAAAGCAGTGATGAAGAAGTATTTGTCGAGTGCTGAATTTGGAAATTTGGCTTTCCCTTTAGCTGGTTATCTGTTTTGGGGTCAGATATCCCAAAGCAAGGACAGGGTGCAAAAGCAGAAGAAGTATTTGTCGAGTGCTGAATTTGGAAATTTGGCTTTCCCTGTAGCTGGTTATCTGTTTTGGGGTCAGATCCTAAGCTGAAATAAGCTGAAGTCACCCTTTTGAACAAACGTAGCCTGTCGGAAGATGGGGCCATGTGGGGCCAATGAGCACCTGGGGTGGAATAATTTCTGAATTTCTGCAATTCTGGAAAATGTCTGCCTGTTGGAAAGCAGGTGACTCAGCAGTGCAGGGGTACTGACATGTCACAAAGAGAAAAAAACCACTCAAAGGGAAACGGTGAATGAAAGATCACTTATTTGCTAAAATTCTGCTATTCAAATTCTTGTTGATGTTCTGCTAACCTCTAACCCCAAAAATAATCCTTTAGTGCAAGAATTGCGTGAAGCAAAAAAAAACCCCAGCATTTTGAGGGTTTTAAATCATCCTTTTCTGAATGAAAAGTGTAATATAAAGTAAAGGTTTTACACACCTGTAAAATCTGCATTTCTTCACAACATTCTTTTGTGAAGCAAAAGTAGTCTTGAACCTTACACATGATAGCAACTTACTAGAAAGTTAACTATGTAAAATCTGGTGTTAGGGTCCAAGCTAAGAATTTGGAGGGAAAACTGGCTTGACTATGAGACATAGAAGATTTATGCCAAGTAAGAGTTATTTTTACAATGAAATTTGTCTTGTCTTAAATAAACGAAGGGTGATCTTTCAATCTGTTTTCCCTTTGCCTATTCGAAAAGTGCTGAAGTAGAGGAAAAGGAAGGTTATAACACTTTCTGAAATAATTTAAAAGAGTAAGACTAATAATTACAGTGAAATGTTCCAGGGTGTTTTATTCAGTTAGAACAAAGGGTAATAAGAGCAGATGCTGTTCCAGTCCTTACAATTCTTTAGCTCATATTGATGTACAATGAAAAGAACAAAAGATAATTAATGGAGGATGCTCTGAGGAGTAAGCTGATGTCTCAGCATCCATCTTCACACTGATCAATATTAGAATCTATAACTTCACCCGTTGTTTTATGAGGTCTTTAACAAAAAAGACACAGAATTATCAAGATCATAAAAAAATGTATTTCATTCTTTTGTGGCTGTAGCCTCATTATTATGGCTGGGAGAGAGGACACTGTGATTCCTCTGTGTCACAGCCCCTTCTGAAGAGGGAGTGGTATTTTTCAACTCGCAATCTGTGTAGTTTGTCTCAAGTGGAAGGGTCCTCCTCTAAGCCAGCTGGCCCATAAAACAAAAGTCTCTCTGCCCTCCTGGCTGGATTTGTGCACACACAGCCCGTAGAGTGTGGTGCCACCAACCATCCCAGTCTATGCTCTGCCTGGGTCTCAGCTGGCAGGAATTTAACCAGCTCCAGCCTGAAGCAGCTCAGATGTGCTCAGGCACAGCAGTGTTCCTGCTAACGAGCTCTGCCTCTCTTGGAGGTGTCATATAGAGCACAGTCTCCCTCCAGGCTGCAGCCACACAGCTTTCCATGTCACACAATCACACGGGGTTGGAAGGGACCTCTGGAGATCATCTAGTCCAACCCCCTGCCAAAGCAGGGCCACCCAGAGCAGGTCCCACAAGAACGTGCCCAGTGCTCAGTAAAACCCTCTGTGACTGTAGAAAAGAAAGCGTTCTCATCTAAACCCTCAGAAAAAGCTAGGAAAAATCTGGACTTTATGTACCATTTAGCACAGGTATTCTTTTACAGCTTTAGATCATTGAAATCTGTACTAAGCTCTCTGCCTGTTCACATGGCTTTGGGTTGGAGGGGAGCAGATTTGGATTGGAGATTAGGAGAGGGTTCTTTGCTGTGAGGGTGGTGGAGCACTGGAACAGGTTGCCCAGGGAGGTGGTTGAGGCCCCTTCCCTGGAGATATTCAAGGTGAGGCCTGGTGAGGCCTGATGAATTCTTTTGTGGCTGTAGCCTCATTATTCTGACTGGGAGAAGACACTGTGATTCCTCTGTGTCACAGCCCCTTCCGGCCTGGACAACTCTATGATTCTATGAAGTGCAGTGACAGGGCAAGGGGTAAAGGTTTTAAATTGGAAGAGGGGAGATCTAGAGCAGATCTTAGGAAGAAATTGTTTGCTGTGAGGGTGGTGAGACACTGGAAGAGGTTGCCCAGAGAAGCTGTGGCTGCCCCATCCCTGGAGGGGTTCAAGGCCAGGCTGGATGGGGCTTGGAGCAACCTGGTCTGGTGGGAGGTGTCCCTGCCCAGGGCAGGGGGTTGGAACTTTAAGGCCCCTTCCAACTCTAACCATTCTGTGATTATTACTGGAAACCAGTTGGCTTACCCCTAAGCACTCATGACACGTATATTGTGTATTTGCATGGAGTGTCAAATTATATCAGAGACAAACTTTTCTTTCTGTACTAATTTGTTGCTTTTGAGTCAGCAATTTTATTTTCTTACAAGAGTATTTCTCCAGACTCAGTCTTTTCAGCAAAACAACATGTTAAGATGCTGAGTCATCTCTACTGGCAGAATTTCTTACGTTCTTCTCTACTTTTTTATGCATTGTGTCACAATTCACTTATATCACTAATAAGTATAATACTTGTTTAGAGAACAAGTCCTACGAGGAGAGGCTAATATCACTAATAAGGAGGAGAGGCTGAGGGAACTGGGCATGTTGAGTTTGGAGAAGAGGAGGCTGAGGGGAGACCTCATTGCCCTCTACAGCTCCCTGAGAGGAGGGTGTAGAGAGGTGGGGGTTGGCCTCTTCTCCCAAGGGAATCATGCCAGGAGCAGAGGGAATGGTCTGAAGTTGGGGCAGGGGAGGTTTAGATGAGATGTGAGGAAGAATGACTTTGCTGAGAGGGTGGTCAGGCCCTGGAAGGGCCTGCCCAGGGAGGTGGTGGAGTCCCCATCCCTGGAGGGATTGAAGAACCGTGTAGAGGTGGCACTTCAGGGCATGCTCTAGTGCCCGAGATTGTTTGGGTTTTTTTGTATATGTGTGTGGTTGGACTTGGTGATCTCAAAGGATTCGGGTTTTTTTTTTGGTATATGTGTATGGTTGGACTCAATGATCTCAAAGGTCCCTTCCAACCATGAAGATTCTGTGATTCTGTAATACACAGATAGATAAATATCACTAATCACATTTGGAAGAAGTGGGGGCTGCAGTCTAAAGATGGTGCCAAGATCCAAGCAAGGCTCAGGAAGTTCTAATTAATGCGATGAAAGTGGAATTGGCTTGCCCAGAAAACCCCATAGAAGTCTTCAGGTGGGAAGAGCCAGGCAAGCTTCTGCAGAGCAGAACTGTTGGTTTCCTGTGGAACTGCCAAGGAGGCTACGTCAGGAAACCGCCGTGTTGTGGTTAGGCTGAGGGAAGCTGGAGATGGAGTGAACCAGGTGATGAGCCCCCAGCCAGGCCATGGCTGTTTCTCTGCCTCGGCCCAAAGAAATTCTGCTGTTCCTCCAGATTTTGCTGTGTCCCCCTACCACTTCATACTGCTATTAGCCTTAAGTTTCCAGGGAAGGTGGTTTTTCTGCATTCTGCTGGCCACCTCTGACTGTGGCCATGAGGTCCCTCACTAGAGCCAAAGCAGATCCCCACTGTTAAGACACAGTTCAATTTACTTCTCGGTCCCTGTGCTTAGATGAACGATATAGAATAATCAAATTGGGCAACTAAAAGGGATGGTCTTGTTAAGACTGGACCTTTGCCTCTTGCCACCTCGATCACCCTGAGCTTGAGCTCCACATCCTGCTTCCTGAAGTGTTCCATTGCCTCTCCTGGCAAATGCCAGGCACTTCTAAGTCTTTTGCTCTAATAAGTTCTGTGTTTCTGAGATAACTTTGTACAAAGTGTATTAAGAAATCAATATACACAATAAAATAGAGCCTAAAAGGCCTCCAGACTGCCATTGAACAGTGACACATGGATTTCTTCAGTGCACATGAACAACAGCATGCAGAAGCAAATTCATCTTAGGCAGAAAGGACAGAACCTGCCACCTTTACTCCTGGCCCCTCAGCAAAACCCTTTCACATCTCCAAGAGATGTGAAATGCCCAGCGTGTTTGAACCTACCTTCTAAAGCTCACCCTTGAAGTTTTCCCTCTGTTTGATCTTGAGGGCATCTAAACCTCCCCTGCCCCAAGCAGGGCCAGCAGCTTTCCCTCCTGACCCTTGGGATTTTACCCTTCCATTGCCCAAGCAGAGGTGGCCCAGGCAATATGTAAATCAAATGTGGAAGATCCTTAATAACTTATCAACATGTCAGAGCAAATTTGCTGATTTGTTTCATTGTTGCCTAAGGAACTTGCAGACAAATTGAATCATCTCTTCATTAGAGGAGGGGAGAAGAGATCCCAGAGCAATGAAGACAGAAAAACTAATCTGCGTGCATTTTTGTTTTCTTTTCCAGATACCTCCATCATCTACCCTTCTGGATGTGAAACACAAATTTCACAAAGCGTGTAAGTATTACAGCTGGCAGGCTGGAGGCATGGCTAGAGGCCTTTCAACTTGGAGAAATTTTCAGATTTATTTTTCATGAAAACTCGCATTAAAGCTGAGGGTGGCTTGACAGCTTCAGTGCGTTTGGACTAAAGTTCTACTGTAGCTATAGCAGATGTGAGAGGCTGGAAGGAGAGGACTGCATAATTGATCACTGCCAGCCCACGAGGGGCAATACCTTTCTATCCTATCTTCTTTTTAACATTACACAGTGCCAATTCAAGACCACGACTGCCTTTGTCCTCACGGTGTTACATTAGATGAGCTTCGGTAACGTTAGACTTCTTCAAGCTGGCCATAAACAGAGCGTGTAAATAATCACTGTAGGGGGGAACTCAAGCACAAGAGTGATTAAATGACCTGTCTGGGGTTGTGGAGACTGTGTAAATGAGCACTGTAGGGGGGAACTCAAGCACAGAGTGATTAAATGACCTGTCTGGGGTTGTGCAGCTGACTCACAGAATCACACGGGGTTGGAAGGGACCTCATCTAGTCCAACCCCCTGCCAAAGCAGGGCCACCCAGAGCAGGTCGCACAGGAACGTGTCCAGGTGGGTTTGAATGTCTCCAGAGAAGGAGACTCCACCACCTCCCTGGGCAGCCTCTGCCAGGGCTCTGCCACCCTCACAGTAAAGAAGTTCCTCCTCATGTTTAGGTGGAACGTCTTTTATTCAAGTTTGTGCCCATTTCCTCCCCATGTGACAGGACAAGAGGACTCAGCCATGCCCAGTTCCTTAATGGTCAGGGCAACCTCCCTTTCTTCTAGTACCACCTTTTTTTTTTGGTTTTCATATCCGTGAGGAGGGGAGAAAATAGTGGGAGAGAGGGTAATTTTTTGCACATACAGGCTGCAGATATGGACCTTGTACATGAGAAGAGATGAGGACAATTATACTCAAGAATCCCTCTTTTTCCTTCTGCCCAAGAACAGAGCAGTTTTGCTGGATGCTTCCCTTCTGCCTCCAGAGTAAGCATTTAGATGATGGGCTTTCGTTATTCTTACAAAAAAAAAAGAGTATATTCAACTAAAAGCTAGATGCCTTTTGCAAAGAAAAATAAAAATCTTTAGTCAGACACTAAAACTGAGTTCAAAGTAGGGTAAGTAGAAGAAATGTTATGCTTCTCCTCTCTCCTTAGAATTTCATAAAACACTAAAGCTGAAGGCTTCTGTGGTTGCACAAAGGTTCAGTTGGTGAAGCAAAAGGCTGTTGACCTAACTGTTCTAAAACTACTTGTTTTCACTCCCTGTAAGGCCTTGTAAAATGCAAAATGGTGAAAGTACAAAAACCCCACAGCTGAATACAAAAAGACTGAGTGCACAATTTTTATTATTTCAGTAAGAGTATGTCTTCTCATCAGTTTGTGAAAGGCAGTGTATTTTTGCCTAGACTCTCTTAAATCAACTGAAACTGGATTTACATTGATGCAGCTTAAATCAGCTGAAGATCACTGGCACAGAGGCTTATGTCAATTTAAATGTAATGAGGTTTTGGATGGATTTGGGCTAAAATGGTACGAGTCTGCATATAAGCCATTTTAATGGCACCTCTTTTCATATGTAGAGGTATCTTACTCCTCAAATGCTCCCAGTGATGTAGGGGGAACTGAGTAAAAAAGAAGACAGTAAGCAATAGAACAAAGCATGGAAGGGCTGGCATAGGCCCTCAATGCTTTTTCAGTTTTCAATTTTAATTTTTCAGTTTTTCAATTTTAGCGTGCGGTTTGGTACTAGCTCATGCATTCATTTCTGTCATTTCTGTGTGCCAGACTCACGTGTTCCCGTATAATCTCTTGCTAAAACACACTCCTACCCACCCCCCCTTGCAGTCTCCCTCTCTTCATACATTCTCCTTTGATCACCCATGCAATTAAGCTTTCTCCTCAGCTGGTTTCTTGTCAGCCCTTCAGTGAGAGGAGCCCCTTGTGCAGCGATTCCACGAGCATCGTCTCTGTCACTGAGCAGTTTTCACTGCCTTGTTCAAGAAAGGAGGAAAAAAGACTGAATTATGAATTTCAGCACAGGAGGCTGTTAATCATAGAATCATAGACTCATTCGGGTTGGAAAAGACCCTTGGAATCATCGAGTCCAACCATCAACCCCACTCTACAAAGTTCTCCCCTACACCATATCCCCCAACACCACATCTAAATGACTCTTAAACACATCCAGGGATGGTGACTCCACCACCTCCCTGGGCAGCCTGTTCCAGTCTCTGACCACTCTTGCTGTGAAGAATTGTTTCCTCATGTCCAGTCTAAACCTACCCTGTTGGAGCTTGAAGCCATTCCCTCTTGTTCTATCGCTAATTACCTGTGAGAAGAGACCAGCACCAACCTCTCTACAGTGTCCTTTCAAGTAGTTGTAGAGAGTGATGAGGTCTCTCCTCAGCCTCCTCTTCCTCAAACTAAACAGTCCCAGCTCCTTCAATCGCTCTTCATCAGATTTCTTCTCCAGACCCCTCACCAGCTCCGTTGCCCTTCTCTGCCCCCACTCCAGCACCTCGAGATCTCTCTTGTGTTGAGGTGCCCAAAACTGGACACAGTACTCAAGGTAAGGCCTCACCAGTGCCCAGTCCAGGGGGACCATCACCTCCCGAGTCCTACTCGCCACGCTGTTCCTGACACAGGCCAGGATGCTGGTGGCCTTCTTGGCCACCTGGGCACACTGCTGGCTCCTGTTCAGCCCACAGGCCACCAACACCCCCAGGGCCTTTTCTGCCAGGCAGCTCCAGCCACTCTGCCCCCAGCCTGTAGCGCTGCAGGGGGTTGGTGGGACCCAAGGGCAGGACCTGGCACTTGGCCTTGTTGAACCTCATCCCATTGGTCTTGGCCTATTGATCCAACCTGTCCAAGTCTCTCTGTAGAGAGCTACAGCTTGATGTTTTCTGCCTGAAATTGAGTGGCAGCTGAGTGCCTGGGTGTCACTGGCCACCACACTGTACTATCTAAGGTGTAGGCAAAGAAGCCTCAATCAAATCAGTGCTGTGCCCTAGGTGACTTTACCTCAATTTTCCTCATTCCTTTGGCCAGGTGGCAGAGGTGATATGAAGCTAAAAACTAAGTGTGTGAGAAGAAGGAAGCCTTTTGTCCCATTTTCTCAGTTGCTTATAATAAGTTAGGAACCTGGCATTTTCTTTATCTATAAAGATTAGGTTTTCACTGGGGAAAGAAATACCTCGTAGGCTAAACTCTGCAAGCTCTTGTCCTTGGCCATAACTCTTCACCTTTAATTTATTTTTATCTGTGCAAAATATATTGGAGTGGTGGGGGAGGAAATCTTACAGATAGAAAATGAAAAACTGTAATAATAATGCTAATTCAAGTATCACATAACTAAAATAAAATACCTCTAGAGCAGGTAATATAGCGGAATCGGTGATCATTAAATATTTTCAAGGTTACTGCAGGAAAGTTGCTGAAAAAGCTCTTGAAAGAGGAGGAAGAACAGAAAGTAGAGGGGGAAATACTGTAAGAGTGATAGTATAACAAACTCATGGATGCAACCTCCTGCATAAGGAGGTAGCACAACCAGAGCTACTCTTTGAAGTCAGAAGATTGAGCTTAGGGAGGCCAGAAGTTGCCCTCTGGGCAGAAGGAGCAGGCAGGGAAGGAAGGGCAGGTGGGAGGAAGCCTGGCAATGGGTGGAAGGAAAAAGAGCAGTTGAAGAGAGAACTGAAAAAACTCACATCACGTGCAGAATATCCCAACCTGCAGAGGGGAATGAGGTGCTCAAGGAATAAGGAACATTCCAAGCTGCCAGCTGTCCCAATAAAATATTAACTCCTGATTCTTCAGCTCCAAAATTACAGCCTTCCCTCCCCCCCCATCTAACCTAACAGCTGTTACATAAGTATTTAAAATAAGCAATGCCAATGAGAGCAAATAATTAAGAAAGAAATTGTCAGTAGATGGCACTCAAGAATAAACAGCATAATTTCTGGACACTATGAAAATTAACAAGTCTGCTGTACAGTCTTCCAACTGCTTCTTGCAGGTGTTTCTATATGTCTGTTTCTAGATGTCTGGAATAAGCTCTTTATTGCCTAATGCAAGGAGATAACATCCCAGAGGACAAACCTAAATAAAAGCACCGTGTCACACAATTCTTTTTCCAGCTGTGAGACGAGCTGAAGGCACATGAGATACTAAAGCTAACCCTTTAGTGGAGGAGGTCCTCTTTCTTCTCTCCTTTCCCAAAACTCTGCTAAGGGTTTTCACACCCTGAATCGGCAACTTTCCTGTTTTTAGTGACATCTGAGAGCCGGTGGCGTGATTCCAAGAGCAACAGCTCCATGTTTTCACTGAATTTCACTGAATTTTAGAGTTGGAAGGGACCATAGAGATCATCTAGTCCAACTCCCCTGCTGAAGCAGGATTGCCCAGAGCTTGTCAGAGCATGTTACTCAGGAGCATCCAGGCGGGTCTTGAAAATCTCCAAGGAAGGGGACTCCACACCCTCCCTGGGCAGCCTGTTCCAGGGCTCTGTCACCCTCACTGTGAAGAAGTTTCTCCTCATATTTGAGTGGAACCTCTTCTGTTCCAACTTGTGCCCGTTGCCCCTCGTCCTCTCACTGGGAACCACTGAAAAGAGTCTGGCTCCCTCCTCCTTCAACCCTCCCTTGAGATACTTGTAGGCATTGATAAGGTCTCCCCTCAGCCTTCTCTTCTCCAGACTAAAGAGTCCCAGCTCTCTCAGTCTCTCCTCATCAGGGAGATGCTCCAATCCTTGAATCATCTTTGTTGCCCTACACTGGACTCTCTCCAGCAGTTCCCTGTCCCTCTTGAACTGGGGAGCCCAGAACTGGAGGCAGGATTCCAGTTGTGGCCTCTCCAGTGCAGAGCAGAGGGGGAGAATGACTTCCCTTGACCTGCTGGCCACACTCTTCCCTATGCAACCCAAGATACCATTGGCCTTCCTGGCCACAAGAGCACACTGCTTGCTCATTGTCATTTTGCTGTCC